TACCTGTGACAGGTGGAGCTGCTGGCTTTTTAGGAGGCACCAGGGACACTTTCTTTTCAGGGATGACCTCTTTGGGCACCTCAGGCACTTCAAAGAGATTAGTGAGATTATGTCTAAGAGTTATGAAGACCAACAGAATGGAATATTTTCAAGAGCAGAAGACAGATCTTAGGAAGCCTCAGGTCAGTGATGAATACCTGTGACCGGCGGGGCTTCAGGCTCTTTGGGTGGTTCCATGAGGACTTTCCTTTCAGAGACAACCTCTTTAGGAGCCCCAGGCACTTCAAAGAGATTAGTATGTTTTACAGGTGGAAAGGACGAAGATAGTAGACACACAGAACATTATTTAAGCTAGATGAACTTTCTTTTTTCCCTCCTGAACCTCATCAGGGCTAACACTTGTAATGTTACTTGTAATGGGTGGTAGCTTTGGCTTTGAATTGGTGACTTTCTTTTGGGGTGGGGGGCACTTCCTTAGGAAATTTGGGTTCTTTGAAGACATTAGTCAATTTACACCGAGTCAAGGCAGTCCACACGTACAGGAGACACCTTTACACAACACACAAGACTCAAGCCTTCCTGTCTTCCCCCTTGCCCTCCCACGGAAAGAGTCCATCCAGCTTGTACCTTTGGCAGGTACAACTTCAGGCACTTGGGGAGGGCGCACTTTCTTTTTGGCCACAACGTCTCCGGGCGCTTCAGGCACTTTAAAGATATTAATACTTTGACATGTAGGAGCCAAAAGAATCACTACACACAGAAAACACGCACAGACAGCAGAAGACATTTCCCGCCCTTTTACACTTCCAGCAACATATACCTTCATCTGAAGGAAGTGCGGGCTTTTTGCGAGAAATCCGAAGTGTTTTCTTTTCAAGGGTGGTTTCTTCGTAAGTGTCCAGCACTTCAAGAGATTAGTATTTGTACATTTAGTGCTATGAAAGTCACCAGGAAGAAGAAAGTATGTTCAAAACTAGGATAGCTAGCTCCTGAGCCCGTGGGCTTGGCAGCTTGTACCTGTAACAGAGGGGGCTTCTCTGGTTTTTGAAGGGGCTTTCTCTGCAGCATCCACTTCAGCAGGGGCTTCAGGTTCTTAAAAGATATTAGTAGTTCACGTTTCAGAGTTAAAATGATTAATGCAAACAGTAGCCACAGTGAAGTAGCTTGTCACTTTCTAGAAACTACTTCTCTTTCTTCCCTAGTCCCCCTCATCCACCAATAAACTAGTACGCAGGGACCTGCACGATTCTTAAGAAGAAAGGCTTGCATTTCTCCCAGACAGTCATTGTATGTAACAGCCAGTCTTCTGCTGCCTATATTCAACCACAGAGGGAAAAACTATCTGCACTGAATGTGTACATACATAGGTGTCTTTGTCAGCAACTCCCAAACAACACAGTGCTCACACTATTTATATACTACTTACATTCTATTAGGCCACAAGTGATCTGAAGATGCTCGGGAGGGAGTGCCGACATTACTTTGGTTATATGCAAACTTGATCTTATCTTAGGTAAAGAACTTGAGCACACACGGGTTTTGGCCTCTGCATGGGGGAGGGGTATCCTGGAATTCCCCATGGAAACTGAGACAGGAGTTTATTTTTCAGGCAAATGCTTGCAATAGAATTTTTTGTTTTGGCAAAATGGTCAAAAATACTTTCTAGATGGAACACACTGGAACTTCAGGTGACTTGAAGATATTAGTATATTTATAGGACTTAGGAAGAGTATTAGAAAAACTAGTTTTAAGAGCTGAGAGAAGGCAGTTTCTTCTTTCATGTATATTCAGTGGTGACATGTACCTTGGATGAATGGCGTTTCTGGCTCTACAGGAATATCTTCAAAGGTGTTCATTTCGGGAGGCATTTCTTTCATAGCTTCTGATGCTTTGAAGATATTAGTATTAGAGTCAGAGGTTAAAAGGGCTGGTGGCGACATTAATCCCATAAAGTGAGCTGAAGTGATTTCTGTTGCTACTAGGGGTCCTTTGAGGATTTGAGGAGTGTGGACTCATGAGGAGAGGAACTAAGTCTTGTCCCTTTTGTTTATTACTTCTCAGTTTATTACTTTACTACCCAAAAGGGACTTTGAGGGGACAAGCAAAAGATTCTAGACAGAGAAAAAAAGTCAAATTATTTGGATACTCTTAAAATTATAGAATATCATGTATAACATGAAGGGTTTGTGATCCTAAAAGCTTTCTTAAACTTCTTGAATTTTGATTTGTCTAAAAATACTTAAAGTGAAAAAAAACATATAATGCTTGAAAAATCCAGGCTATGGGAGGAGCAAGAAAGTATTCAGGACAGAATACCAGTATGAACTGGAATTACTTAGTCTTGGCTCTAAGATGATATTACAGGTAAATCAACTTCACATCAAGTCATGGTTGTCTATAAAGCCATTTTTTTATGACATTCAAGTCTTACTTGAAGTCAGTTTTATGTTCATATGCTTGTTCTGGACATGAGTTTAGT